CCATATTTGACCCAACATTGGGTTGAAACAACCCAGCATTTTTCAAAATCTGAGTTAGAAATTAGAGTGGTCTTTAGATGAACATTTTGTATGTTGATATAAAATACTGTTCCATCAATATAACACTGGTTGAATAGCAGCGTTTTACAGATTTTTTTTGCCTGTCAAAATCTTGTGTGTGATTGGTGTTTTAAAATATTAAAAAATCTCTAATCTGCCTCATCAGATCACCCAATGTTTGGCCCTCGCTCCATAGGACCCAGGATGGGACCAGAGGTTGATTTCCCCCCAGCCTTTCCAAATAAAGGCAACCTGGAAGATATCTGTCAGTTCAGTAAAACTCCGGTCCGGTACCCTAAGGACATGTTTCCTCAGGATGGCTTTGGCCATGAGTATCGACAGGCTGATGCTATCAATAAACTCCAGTCCTGGTACGGTGTCTGCTGTGGCATTTATGGAACACAGGAAGAGCAAATCTGTTGTGCTGAACAAGCGGTGAGAGTCTTGACATTGTTATACTTTCTAATGATAGGCTTCTAGCTTTCACAAGACAATATTCAGAGGACATTCTATCTAAGCTCATATGTACCTCTGGTTCTTCTGTTGTAGTATAAATTGAGAACTGATACTTTAGTTTTAGTGTATGAATTCCATGCCACCAAACTAAATGGAAGCAGCAACAAATTAAATAGGGTGCTGCAGTGATGACATATTTTTGTAGGCCAACTTGGAAGTTAGCATCACCCTTGTTCTCTCAACAAAAACCCAATGGGATTTTTTGTTTCATTGACTTTTGGATTATTGCAGAAAATAAGTTCTGGCACTAACAAAAGTATATAATTCTTACTTTAAGCTTCTCTCTTTCAGTCTTTACTTAAAAAAAAAAGTCCATGAAAGTTTGAGTTAGAATAGTTTGCAAGAGCATGAGCATATAAACATAATGAGGTTGTAAAAGCAGACTAGTGGGTAGATGAGTTTAACTTTTTGTATGATGGCATTTAATGTCCACAGCAACCTCTGTAGTCCCATTTAGCCAATAGTGTTTTTCAGTACAAGTAAAAGCTTTAACAAAATCAAAAGGAGGAATTACTCTGATGTATTTTATGTTGAGAAGTGATACTTTAGTTTTTTTTAAATTGAGAAGAAAGCATGAAAATTTCTTTAGCTTGTGGTAAGCACAAGCTTGTTTTATTTCAGCCCATTGACTTCAAGACAATGGAACCTGAAGTGCTAAATGCTAACTTGTTTCTAGTGCTAACATGTCATCCCTGAAGCACTCTATTGCCTGTTTCCAAACAGGTTTCCCAAACATGCCTGTCATTTGTAGATCCAGCACCAAATTTCTTTCAAACTTTACCAGTGTTGCCCTTCTCAAACAACCAGCAATGTTTTAGCGCCACAGAGTCACAGTGTTGGTTTACACTCACATCTGGTTTAAATAATCCAGTTCTTAACCGCTTTTAGATTCTTCACATTACTAAAGCAGAGACTGCAGATCTAGGCCAGTAGCCCCTCACTGCAGAGCACACGATCCGGGGGGGGGGCGTGGTTGGATCCACATCTAGGGGGTGGAGACTGGTAGGTTTAAGGGTGGAGATGGGTGGGTTTAGGTAGCAGGGGGTGGAGACAGGTAGGTTAGGTATATGTAAGGTGGGAGGAGTTGGATCTGGATCC